AAAGTAAAAATTAGTCCAACGCTCCAAATCCATCAATGCATCAAAATCACTATGAAAATCATACTGTCCAAGTCAAAATGGGTAATTATCCATACCAAGAACGGATCTTCAGCCAATTGTCATGAACCATATGGGAGATTTGTGCCATTCTTGTCCCACGAATTTGTGCAGGTTGAGTATAGAATAGATCCACTTAGGAGTCTAGATGGGAAGAAAGTTGAAAAAGAATAAACAAAAAGGGGTATTATGGTAAGTACGAAAAATGGGTGGAAAAGTATGGCCCAACATTTTGACTTAAATACCCATCTTTGTGGAGAGAGTCTCTGCCTGTAATTCCCATCTCAACCCTCCCAACCCCTCTTCTACCCCTCAACTTTTGGCTGCGGCCATCTCTCCAGACTCCAATCCATCCTTGCCCTTACTCTCTTTTTCCGGTTTTCTCCTCTCTTTCTCTCTCTCCCTCAACCAACTTACCCGCCATTTTCAAATTCTTCTGTATTCTGTTATTAACTGCTCCTTCAAAATCCAGTTTCTCTTGTCGCAAAGACAAACCCTAATTAGCTTTTTGGGTTTCTTTTCTTCTGTGAAGGTTGAAGAACGGTGCAGAAGGATCAACCATCAAAACCCGGATCTTTTCTTGGCTTTTCTGTCTGGGTTTTCGATTTAAATTAGGCCCAGATGATTTAAATTCTCTGTTTTGGTTCGGCAGTTTCAAAGATTGGATTTTTATGTGAAAAACCAAGGGCTTTCTGTTTTTGAGCTGCTTTTTAGGTATTTTTCTTCCTAAGATTGCATAATTCTTTAGTTATATGTAATTTCATTGATTCATGATTTTTTTTTTCCGCTTTTGGTGATATTGCAGCTGTAAATGAAAATATTTGTTTGGTTGGGGATGGAAATTCAATATCCTGTTGCTTCCAGTTGTCAGCGTCAACAGTGACAACAGCAAGTGAGGTGAGGTTTTTTTTTCCCTTTCATTTTCCATTTCCTTTTGGCCTGCGGCAGATTTCGGTCCTGGTTACTGTGCTGCTTCTTTCTTGGGAAAAAAAATTGGCGCTTGTCTTGCTTTTATTGTTGGATGCTAGGATTGATTGATTGAGTCTGAGTGGTAGTTTAGTGTTTGCTATTAAGTTTGGAAATAGAAGCAGAAAATTACTTTAGCTGCCAGTATTTGTTGTGTGTATGTTATCCATGTATTAGCTGTGTTTTTGTTTTACAAATCGTGATAATTGTTAAGCGATAGATTTGCATTTGTAATTGAAGGTTATTAAGTTCTTGACTTGTGGTGAGTTGTGACTGAAGTAACTGAAGGAAAATGGCGAGCCACGAATTGATGATCAGCAAAAATCATAATGTAGGCCTCAGCCAGAACCCAAAGGTTGTTCTAGGACATAATCACAATGTTACTATGGCTCAGAACCATGAGCATGATGTGGTTTTGACTCGAGATAGTGAAGAAATGGTTTTGAGTCAGAGTCATGATGATGATGATCAGGAGGATGATGGAGATGAATACGAGCAAGAAAACGGGCTATCAGTGGAGCAGAAGCCTGAAAATGAAGGACAAGAACTTTCTCTTCCTGGAGAAACTGAAGAGTTGGATGTATCCGAGCACAATGAGTTGGCTGTTTCAGGAAATCAAGAACTTGATGAGAATATGGAATTAGCCATTGTTCAAAATGAGGAAATGGGTATTGTGCCTGCAGATGACATGGATGCTCAAGGCCAACTTTTGCTTACATCCACCCCTGTGCTCCAGGCACGTACACTTGCTATAAGTCCCGATTTCGAGCTGCATGTGGGACAGGAGTTTTCTGATGTTAAAAGCTGTCGAAGAGCTCTGAGGGACACAGCTATTGCTCTTCACTTTGAAATGCAGACCATTAAATCAGACAAAACTCGATTTACTGCTAAATGTGCTGCTGAGGGATGCCCCTGGCGGATACATGCTGCAAAGCTTCCTGGTGTACCTACTTTTACTATAAGGACCATCCATGACAGTCATACATGTGGAGGAATCTCTCATCTTGGTCATCAGCAAGCTTCAGTTCAGTGGGTGGCTAACTCTGTGGAGCAGCAGCTTCGGGAAAACCCTAACTGCAAGCCAAAGGAGATCTTGGAAGAAATTCACCGAACGCATGGCATCACCTTATCCTACAAGCAAGCTTGGCGTGGAAAGGAGCGAATCATGGCTGCTATGCGTGGCTCCTTTGAAGAAGGTTACCGCTTGCTTCCTCAATATTGTGAACAGGTTAAGCGGACTAACCCCGGAAGTATTGCTTCCGTTTATGGAAGTCCAAGTGATAATTGCTTCCAGAGGCTTTTTATATCATTTCAAGCATCAATCTATGGCTTTCTAAATGCTTGTCGGCCCCTCCTAGGTCTTGATAGGACTTTCTTAAAAAGCAAGTATCTTGGTACTTTACTGCTAGCTACTGGTTTCGATGGAGATGGTGGCCTGTTTCCTTTGGCATTTGGTGTCGTTGATGAGGAGAATGATGATAACTGGATGTGGTTTCTTTCTGAACTTCATAACTTGCTGGAGATCAACACAGAGAACATGCCTAGGCTCACAATTTTATCAGACAGGCAGAAGGGCATCGTAGATGGTGTGGAAGCAAACTTTCCGACAGCTTTCCACGGGTTTTGCATGCGTCATCTGAGTGAAAGTTTCCGTAAGGAATTCAACAACACAATGCTTGTAAACCTATTATGGGAAGCTGCTCATGCTCTTACAGTAATTGAATTTGAAGCTAAAATTCTTGAGATTGAAGAGATTTCACAAGACGCTGCATATTGGATTCGGCGAGTTCCTCCTCGTTTATGGGCTACAGCTTACTTTGAGGGAACAAGGTTTGGCCATTTGACAGCTAACATTGTGGAACAACTGAATACTTGGATACTCGAAGCCTCGGGTCTTCCAATAATTCAGATGATGGAGTGTATAAGAAGGCAGCTCATGACTTCGTTTAATGAGCGCCGAGAGACTAGTATGCAGTGGACAACAATCCTTGTCCCCACAGCAGAGAGGCGTGTAGCAGAGGCCCTAGAACGTGCTCGCACATACCAGGTTCTTCGTGCAAATGAAGCTGAATTTGAAGTAATATCTCATGAGGGGACAAATATTGTTGATATACGAAATCGCTGTTGTCTTTGTCGGGGCTGGCAGCTATATGGTTTGCCCTGTGCACATGCTGTAGCAGCACTACTCTCTTGCAGGCAAAATGTCCATCGGTTTACTGAGAGCTGTTTCACTGTTGCAACTTACCGAAAGACATATTCGCAGACGATACATCCAATACCAGATAAAACATTATGGAAGGAGTTATCTGAAGGAAACGCAAATGATAGTAATGTTGGCGAGACTATTATCAATCCTCCTAAGTCTCTTAGGCCACCTGGTCGACCAAGAAAGAAGCGAGTCCGAGCAGAAGACCGAGGACGTGTAAAGCGAGTTGTGCATTGTAGCCGTTGCAATCAGACTGGCCACTTCAGGACAACATGCGCAGCACCTATTTGAGTCTCATAGTGGAAGGTGTTCGCTGCCTTAGAATTTAGTAAATGTTTCTTGTGCAGAGTGAAGATAGTTTGTTAGATCTTGCTACTATTTGTGGAGTTCTATTATTTATCTTTTGCAAGTTCATAATGTAATTCTTGCTACTGGCAATCGTGTTTAGACTCCCCTTTAATAAAATGATTAGGTCATCTACAGAAGTCTGTTTTAACCATTAAGTGCCAGTAATTTATCCTGAGCGTTTATTTCCTAATTGCCTTGTTGCACTTTACCATTTCTTCTTGTTTTCCAAAAGATGAAGCCTACAATGTCAAAGATGTTAACTGAAGGCAAAAACAGGTAATGGCCACTAGATCTTTTGAAGTACTACATGTGGATCTTTCCTAACTGATATTTAAGGGGGCTGATTCAATATTCTTTCTTATTTGAGCTGCTTTTCTGGTTTCTTGCCACGTGAAAAAGTGCTGATAATATGTTTTCTAGTCATATAAAAATGCTTTATATTTTTGTATTCAGAAAAGACAGCAGGAAGAGAGTTTCTTGCTATTATTTATCAAGCTACATCCAAATTGAACTGGAGACGAGAAATTTGCGGTCATCCACCCTACCACCTTGGTCATGCTCCCGAAAATAGGTTAAGCGAAATAGATGAAACTTTTCTCATAAACTCCTTCCCGTTGTATTGCATATTGAACTTCTTTCGCTATTGATCATTTCCATTCTTGGAAGAAAGTTCCCTTTTTCTCGTTTTCATTGGATTTGTCTCACCTATATGTGAAAATTATATGAAGAACCACTCTTCTTAGTTTTCGTCCAACAAAAAAATGTCAATTCAGCATAGCACTATTTCAGCTTGGAAAACGCCAACCTTTGGCTTTGGTACACAAGTATTGTCTTGTAGTGTAACGAACCCTTGTTTAAGTGCTTATGTGATTCTAATGGTATTTCTTGGGTTTGTGCTGGTGGATTTCCTCCTGTGTCTTTTACCGGTAACCTTGAGTACACAGCCAAACAGAGTAGGCAAAAGTCAGAATGACGTTTCAAATATATCCAACATCCCAATCTCCAATTCAAACTCAAAATGATCTGTGATTTGCAGTTTACAGTAAAAACATGAATCATACTATTTTACCCCATCAATTTGTTTACGGTATTTATTTATCACCAATGTGGAATTTTTTGAAGGTTCACAACTCTAATCATAAAGCCACGGCATTTGCACAAGCAGCAGAAAGATTATTGCGTTCCTTGGAATTTCTTCCGCAAAGCTTGGATTGTTTCCTTGTGAACAAGGAAAATCTAGAAAGATAAATAATGAATCCTTCTGTGCTTGTTTAAAAATCCAGTTTCTTCAGTTCCAGTCATGTTGAATCAAAGAAATCGAAACCTAAAAAATGCAATTCGACAAGAATTCATCATGAATATAAAACACGAATATTTAGTTTTAATTAGCAAGTTGTGTATGAACCCAATGACAAAGACCTTATTCCCTCCAAATGAGTAGCAAGGAAGCTATAATCACAATTACTTAATTCCATGGTGACATAATCCTAAAACACGCAAGAAATGTGTTTGTTAACCATTTTACTGACCACTGTAAAGAAATAAAGAAAGAATCCCACAGCATAAGATAAGGTACCAAAAATAATCTTTTTAAGCAATTAGAAGTTGACCAAAATGACATAGTTTAATGTTTTCATATGAATACGGTTCAGTAACCATAGTTGGTGCCATAGACTGAGCCATAGCCCCCACTCTGTCCCCCAAGACCAGGATTTGGAGGGGCAGGCGCATAGGGGGTATTCGAGGCCGCATAAACATTGTAGCCTTGGTCAGCGTGTGTAGCTGTCTGTGTCTGTGCTGCTGCAGCATCTGCCATGAAATTCTGCAACACAGAAGCAAGCAACAGTTTGGATAAAAATATGACCCCATTTTGATGCAAAAGAATGAATAGCAAAACTAGGACACCATTTTATACTGGGTAAGTCCAACCCCTAGTTATTGCAGCTTGTAATGAATATTGACATGCAAACCACCATAACTGTCACGTAGACGAGAAGTTATGGTCTTAGTTGATGGAAAATGCCCAGTTAGTATTTCTTTTCTATTCACTCTTTTACTTCCTTAAAAAGTCAAATAAGATAAAGGGTAGATGGAGAACAAGAAGAAAGAAGTTGGTTTGAGATTACAGGAGAGTCCCATCCCAGGATCCGATATGGGCCACTAGGGGCTGCAGAATGGAAAGTGTAAACTACAATAAGAAGGACGGTTGTCAGAAACTGTTAGTACGAATAGTAACTAATAGAGACTAGAATTGCAGAAATTCCAAAAACTTAATGGCTAATAAATATCATCAGAAGTTGATAATAGATAAATGAAAATACATACTGAGTAAAAGATAGACACTTTTACTGAGTGACTATTGTATTTTCTAGCAGCCATTGAACTATAAATCACCCTTCTTTCCCATAAATCCAGAATTCTCGTGTTGTAAGCTAATACAAAAGACATCTTAAGAATTAAGTCCCCCAGATTTTCTTTAGTTTCGATAATTTTAGGAGAGCTACATCCAGTATATTGGTCATAAATTGATAACATTGTAGAAGCTCCTAAGTTGTTAAAAAAAAAAAAAAACAGATAATTTAAGATAGAAAAAAATGAATTTTAAAGGATGAGATCACATATATTTGCACCGGTTATACTTTAAGCCCGACTTAACAGCTATGCATAGGATCAATTTGAAATCTACAGTAAGAAACATTGCCTGAATCAACTGTTGAGCTGTTTGAACTTGAGATGCACTTCCATTAATCTCAACTGTCATTTCTCCTGGTACTCCCCTGGTTTCCTGTATGGTAACAGTGGCACCACTAAGCCGCCGAATGTAACTTATATTGGCACCAGAAGTCCCAATTACAGCATCAGCATAAGATAGAGGAACTTGCATTTGTTGTGTGACCTGCAAAAGTAACGACTTCAGAACACAATTAAGGTGCTAGTAACTAGGGAGACAAGCTAACAGCGAATCTACTGTATTGATCTGATCTGATTTTTGCACAGCTCAAAAAAGCATATTCACTGTAGATTCATCAAATACTTAAATCAAATGAAGCCAAAGAGACAGTTGTAAGACTCAGCGATGCACTAACATTAGTTATATGCTTAGGCCAGAATTAAATCAGTCAGATGAGCATAAAACTCAAAGAGCAAGCATATCACTCAGGCAGACAATCCATTAAATATTCAATAGAAAATCAGATACTGAATATGAAATTTTCCTGAAGTCAAATGTAGAAGTGATGAGCCATTACAAAATATGATTTGGAAAATCTGCCAAAAGGTAATAGGCAAAATTGATATTTGTAAATACAGTATAACATATTAGAAATTTGGCAGCGGATAAAAGAGTACCGTCCAGCAAATTAATAAATTATTATCTGCCTTCTAAAATTACCTAGACGAGCTTAATTAGTCAAAAGATCTAAACTACTTGACAAGTGTAAGAAAATTACTGTGTATCTGTAACAGATGGACTATTTCATGTACAAGAGTAATTGAACATTGTGTGATATGCATTTAATCAGGCATTGTTTTCATTCTTCTTGCCTTTCTTCCTTGTTCTTCTGCGTTTCTTTCCTCCTCCTCCTCCTTGCAACCTCACAAATCCCTAATCTACCCTAATTACTAAAATCCCCTCATTCTCCAACAACAGTCAAAACCCAAGAAATATCAAGAGGAAAATGAAGGAGAAGAAGCCCCTTTGAAGATGAGGGAGTTTAGGATCTCCAATGTCAATGCATGAAAGGTCCTTTAAATCTCGAGTAAAGAAATACCCAAGTGAGAGGCAAAAGTTCCTTCAGGCAGTTTAGGGCATGTAGCTAGACATGCGAGACGGGTGCCCAGCTCAAAGCCTGGTTACAACAACCCAGGCCCTTCCATCTTTACCAATCTGTCCCTTCTAAAAATTAGAACAATAAAATGAATGAATAAAAGATTCCTTGGTCCTCTACCATTCTTCTTTCAATCCACGAAAGAAATCGCAGTTGAGACTTGATGTAATTGAATCTCTAAAATTCTCACTTTTATCACCGTTTCACAGAGTGAGAGGCAATAATATTGTATTAATATTAAACTTGATGTTGCAATAGTTATTTTTTTTTTTTAAATTCAAAAGAGTCAAAGATTGATTAAAGATCTATTCTGATTTCTCTCTCATCCCAATCCCCTTGGTATGCTTGTGCTGTTTGGGTGGTGTCCTGATCCCGGTCTGATAGTCATCCACCGCCCCCCACCCACTGTTGAGAGTTTTCAATTTTATTTGCACAATTTAGTGTGTTTTTTTGAATGTGAGCGAATCTGAAGAAGGAAAAGTTTAAGGTCTAAAGAAGTGTTATAGAGATGGTGGAATGCAGCTGGGCGCTTAGACAGATGAACACACTAAACTAGTGAATTTCTTACATGTAATGGAACATTCTTTAGAGTTGTGAATTTAATTAAGCTGTGAAGTAATTTAGATCTGCAGAGTGATTAGGGGTATTTGAGCAATTTTAGACAGAACTTTCCAAGCCTGATTCTTTTAAGTAGTTAAAAAGAAGTTCAACAACAAAATTTGCAACTACGATATCTGATGAACCTAGAGACACCTCCTACTGATGTTAGTCAGTCCTTTCAGACTCTTTAGAACTGGTTTCATTTAGTGGCCACTTTTATCCCTGGAAGTACTCTATATGAAGTGCTGCTAGGCAGACCCTAGGTGTCCAGTGGTGAGTTTTAGAGGGTGTCTGTGGCTGGCTGTAGGTAGAAAGCTTGAATATCTTTTAAGAGATTGCTGAGGAAATAAAGAAGTGCAGTCAGTAGCTTGCTGTCAAAACCCCAAATTAAATAGCACAACACATATCAGGATTTTTATATCAAAGTATTATTAGTGGAAAGCTAGTAACGACCTTATTAAAAAGCAATTTTACTCTCAAAGGAAGTCAACTAGATCCTTCTCATGCAATCAGGAATTTCCAACACAAAACTCTCTCTCCAGGTCTCTGTGGTAAAAGGAATTTCAGGTGATCAAAAGATTGGCCTAAAATGATCCAAAATTCATTATGTATTGTTAATGCTGTATTTGCTGTCCATGGAGGAAGTATAGGGAGTAAGCTTTCATGCAAGCATAATTTATTGGATCATCTACTAATACAAAATTTTTCATTGTTACATAACCTAGAATTTGCAGTTAGCTTTAATTATAACAATGCAATCCTTAACCCTGTTCATTTTACCATTTTTTCTTTTTTGAACTATAAATCACTACCATATCAAGTGAAACAAAGCCACATTCTTGAAAGAAGAATAAAACCTGAGTGATTATTGATTGCACTGGCTGGTTGTTCGATGATGATTGCACTGCCGCTGGAGCTTCTCTGCCATAAGCTGATATGCCCTGATGAGGCTGTTTTTCCAGATGAGGCAGCATCTCAACTGGAGAATAAAAATTTTCATGTTGACGAGGAGCTGCCGGTGCAAATTGGGAGTTAATCCCATATCCAGGACCTCCAGAGACACCTGGAGGAAATGGATGAGGCGGTGGACCCCAGGAGGGGATTGGAGGTGCATATTCCATTTGCTGAATTGGCTTTTGCATCTAAAGGGCAAAATAGATCAGGACTGAACCATCAGTTGAAATAAACTATTACCTCAAGCTAAGTGCGATGGGAAACAGACTTACATGCACTTCAATTATCGGAATTATGCTGCGATCAACTAAAAATTTCCTCAAATGGGAAGCAATTAATTCAATGGCCTTGTGTACAGCTGTAGGTTCTCCTGCAACTTCCACGATCCTATCATCTGGAAAAGCAAATATGGGCAGCTCCTCTGCAATAATTTGTCACAGCAATTTATTATTATGAAATCTACAGATAATTTGAAACATTTAAAAGCAGAATCGAGACCATTGAATCACGAGATACTGCTACCAATAATTTCCCAGGATGTCAAATGCCCAATTATCCTATTAAGCAAATTACAGGAGAGTGACACGGAGAATGTGTCAGAAAATTGTAAATTTATCCTGGTGCTGCAGAGGCATTGATTCTAGTTTTTGCCTGGTAAGGGTAATGCTCGAGAGACAGTACTGCTTTTGGATACCAGGAGAATCAGCAGAATTGATATACAGATAGGTGCTACTTATGTTGCTGATAGGGAATTCGGGGATTTGCTGGGATTCTACTAGGATTATGGGCCTAGAAATCATGGAGAAAGAGTGCAATTGGGAAGGGTTGAGAGGGGTAAGGAGAAGAAAGGTGATTGCAGGTTCCCCATGACATTCATGCTGCCAGCTCACAGGGTAAGTAATCGTTCTAATGATCTTTTCCGAGCTTCAGCAATTCATTCTGAACTCTGAATCAGTCTGGAGTTGAAACTTTTCACATACTGCTTCCTTTTTTACATCATAATTCAGATAAAACAGCAGCTAATATACACCAAAAGTTAATGGATTTCTGAAACTGATTGCAGGATATTGCATAGTATGGTTCTAATTACCCAGCATATTCAGCAAAGTATGGTCTACTCCCATCACTAAACTGTTAACCTGGATTCTTGATTTATAATACTGCATTCCTGGACAATAGTCAATATTGCATTTCTTGACTGAATTTATCCCTACAAATCCATCCATGTTTTCCATTTCCATATCCATTTCTCAAATAAAAGAAAAAGAAGAAAAAGCACATCCAAGAAGACCAAGGACCTATTGCTCATTAAGCTGTTTGAGCACTTGCCACATGTGGTAACATCAAAGACAAATTTTCAAACTTGAAGAAGCGAGAGGCAACAATTTAGAATGACAAGTAGCTCTTTTCTCTACAAAATACAGGGCAGATTCCTAGTTTTTGTTTCTCTATTTCAGATCCATCACTGTAACATTGAAGGGAGATGTAAATTAGGAGATCTCATTGATTACAGTTGCAACAGTCAGCTGCTAATATGTTGCCCAAAGACGTATAATATGTTATTAAATTCAATGAGCAAATATCACCTGATTATCATGCAGCTTTCAGGGAGTTCAAAACTTACTATCATGCACAGATTGAAACAAAGGAGTGCAGAGCTTTACCTTAACACACAAAAAAATCGAGGCTTTATTCACAACCAAAAATTAAAGGGATATAAGTAGAGAATAAAACCTGCTCCAAGAACTCTAACAATACAATTAGATGCTTCTTGAATGGATTTGACTGTCGCGCCTTGTTTTCCAATTAAATTCCCTGCCTGTGCAGCTGGAACAAGCAGCCTTGTTGAAACCTTGCCTCCTACAGGAGCTGCATGAGATGAATCACTGTCCAGTCCGTCCACAACTCGTTTATGGACTCTTAGAAGGCCTTCAATAGCTGGCGGTAGAGAAGAATCAGGCTCTTCCTTGGCAGATATCATCACCTTTCCAAATAATAATATATATATCAAGATAGCAGAATGATAGAAAATTGTTGCAACATAGAATACTTAACAACCAAGAGGAAGATACTGGAAATCCCAGGAAAATTCTGAAACCACTCTTAAGAGTAGAATACTAATTTCTTAAAAGCATCTTGAAGAGCATACATCAAATTTATCATCAAAAAATCAGAAAAAGAAAGATGGTCAACACAACCTGATGATGCAAACATCAAAAGCAATGATTTAGGAGTTGGAGAAATGTGCTGGAGGGATAAAACAGTACAATAGATGTCAGAATGTGAACTATGATACAAATATAATATTACCTAAATAATAAAAGTTTCATCATGCCAATTAAACAAGAATAGTATAATCCTAAAACCAAATTTCAACCCAGGTAAATGTTCAAGATGTGTAACATTTATGTACCGCACAAGGTTTTTGCTCCTTAGCTATGATTATCCATTCCAAGGCGCAAATTTACACCATATTAGAAGAACTAAAAGGATACAGTATTTACTCTTCTTCCCAAAATGCCATTGAATTTACTTCTATTCCTGCTAAAAGGAAGCATGTTGAAGAAAAGCTGGTCATACTCATGTCTAACGATTCCAACTTCAAAATAGATGCCTAAATCTCATTCTACTTAAACGGGCAGATTTTAGAAAACTAGTTTTACTATAATCGCCAGAGAGCATATATCAAAATCTATTATAACCTTGAAATCATTCTCGATAATGGGAAAAAAATGGGTTTATAACCCAAAAGAAATCAATTAGGTTTTACGCGATGCGCATCACAGGGCAACAAAACAGAGAAAGCAGTAAGCTTAACAATAAGCTTAACAACAATAAGCCAAGCAGAGCAAAGTATACATACAGCTCTTTCTGTTGTTCCAGGAGGACCATCGAGAATTTTGATGCGAGCTTTCGTCTCCTCGCACATTTTCTTAATGAACTCCCCTTTTCGCCCAATTATGCTTCCAACCTTCTGTGCCGGGACCAATATGCGGAAGACACTTTCTCCAGGCCACCCTGGCCACCTTTCACCACCGCCAGCAGCAACAGAATCATCTTCAGGTTCCTGTGCTTGCTCAGGCTGCGAATTCTCTTCTTGCCCGTCAACTTCGTGCTCATCCAAACTTTGATCAGGTTCAGCTTCAGGTTCAGCCATGAATTCGTCACTGAAGAAAACAGAGAAGAAATCAGTACGTCTGTGTCTGGTTCATGGAATCCAGTTAGGAATAGGAAACAATTTCCTTCGAATTTTGCTTTCTAGCGTTTGTCAGCAGCAAAGGAAGTTAATGAGGAAAAGAATCCTAAGAAATTAGTGAGATACGGGGCTTGTTTTCCGCCGGATTAGCCGCCGCCGGCCGCCGCCTGGAATTCAAAAAAACAGTGGCGATGGCGGTGGAAGTTTGTTACTGCTAGGGGATTTGGGCTTAAACGAGTGAAGAAGAGGAAGACAGAAATTTTGAAATTTCTACTTTAGCCCAAAACTTTTGGTCAATCCGGCCAACTCCCCCATATACTTTCCGATTTGTAATTTCCGCCTGTGCTTTTCTTTTTTCGAATTACATAATGATCCTTTTTTTCTTTTTTAAAAGGATAAATTAGTTTCATTGAGTGTCAATTAGGTTTAGTTAAGATTAAATTAGTTCCAATTTTCCCTCTTTTTAATTTTTTGTGCTTTTAATGTCACTAACAAAGAAAATGTCAAACATACACTAATGATATGTCAATTCATTATTCCTGTGAGTTTTTAAAAATTCAACAGATTTATACACTAAACTTGCTTAATGTTTTTATCTACAAGAAGAGATAGAGCTTAAATCATTTATTGCATGTTATACTTTCAATGATGGACAACAAAAAGGATTATATGAGGAATTAGCAACATTGTAATTTTTTATCATAATAATTGACTTTCTTTTTTCAATTAAGGCAGGGTAGCTAAAATTTCAAGATAGAAGTTTTGCTAGAGTTTCAAGAGAACTTCTTGTCTGGATTTTTTCTAACTTTGAATAGCTTCCTATTTCAATTAACAAGATCTATATTGAAATTTCTTGGTATTATGGTAGATTAAAATCAACCTCCTTTGCTTTTCTACACATTTGCCCTTTTGTAGTTCCTAGGTTCCTTATGACTGATCAAACCATATTCTTAAGTACTCATGTTAATAATATTTATCTTCATTTAAGTTAAAACTTCTTAGCACTTCTGTTATGGTTACCACGGAAAATGGTTGCATACTCTAACAACTAATAAATGTCATCAGAAAAAATTTTATTCAAGGATCAGATTAATAACAACTTATACACGTGTCTCATCATAAGGAACAGAAGATAACATAAGGATTCTTTGAATATAGAACCAAAAACCATACAAGAGAAAAAGCAAGAAATGATATTTGTATCCCTATTGAAAACATGAAGATGGACAAAAACTAGATTCAACTACAAAGAAAGTTTATGTTTACAATCAAAACTACGAAAGAATTTTAAGTGTGCTCCATGTTTTGCGAGGTGCTTAGGATCATAACTTAGAAGTACATGAAACTTGTGGCTATCACTAAAGATATGCTTGCATATAATATCTACCAATGATCTAATTCAATAAATTATTTGGATTGAAGGAAAGGAAAGAAATGAAAAGGAAAGGACACTAGTGTGAATGAAAGGAAACAAGAGTAGAGGAAAGAGAATTCAACCCATCTTATTTGAGTTAAATATAGGAAAAAAAAAGGAAGGAAACACTATAAATATTGTTTGGATTAGGGAAGGAAAACATTACACGTTAGTTATGATTTTGCCCATAATTTAATATATTCTAATTTGTAAACATATTCTAGTACCTTACTTTTCTATCAATTTAATTCTTGTGAAGTATATAAGATATTTTTAGGGGAAGGTAACATATTTTTTTATTTTACTTTTTTTTTGGGGAAGATATTACAAGTCCAAAACATAAAAAGACAAATTTTTACATAATACAAAATATTAACAAAACAATTAATTTTTATATTATTAAAAAAGTAAGACTTAGGTGATAAAGTGGTGTAGAAATTGTATTAAGATAAATTGTAGTAATGAAATAAGCTAAAAAAGAAATAATATTTTAAAAATTTTCAAAATGTTCATTAATAGTTGTTTTTTTCCTCCAATTCTACCCACTTTTGGAAAGAAAGTAAATTGATAAAAAATAACTAGATCTTTTATCTCCCCTTCCCCCACCCCAACTATCTTTTCCTCTCACTCCTCAAAATCTAATCCAAATATTAAAATCCTTATCCTTCTATTTCTTTTCCTTTTCTTTCTCTCTTATTCCCCAAAAAAAAAAAACAAATAGTGTCTAAAATAAGGAAAAAATTTAAGCCTATTTTACTATTTTTTGAGACCAAGTTAAAATTAGATACCAAGTAAAATTTGGCATGAAGCAATATTCAACTAGGAATTGGTCTAAAGTTTCAAATTTAAGCCTATTTTATTATTTATGACCAAGGCTAGTTCATAATCATTTTCACAAGTTTTGTCACAAATCTGTTGCAATAGTAATGTGTTTTGACGTTTTGTTGTCTCATGGTCAAGCCATATTAGTGCATTAACAGCAACAACGTACTATTTTCTAAACTACAACAACACGTTAGAAAAACTTACCACCCAAAGTTCTCCTTGAAGATGAATTATTTCTTGTCTTAAAAAAGAGTTATTTAAGATTTGCTCTTGAAAATTTCTATGAGGGAGAAAATTTTCCATTAATGGAATACATCTAGTCTCAAATGAAAGACCTACAGACTTTTCTTTTCTTTTCTTTTCAATTCCTTCCTACTATCTTTTCTTTTCTTTTAATTTTGTTAAAGTTTTCTACAGACTTTCTATCCCTGAATGTTTGTTCCTAAACACTATCAACAATCTAAAAGTCATTTGAATTGAGAAATTAGTATCTAATCTTTCGAAACAAAATCACTTCTTAAAATCACTAGAAAACAAGGCATAGAAAATTACCAAAATATATACTAAATAACCAACTTTTGGGGTGCAAAACAAAACATTTGTTACCAATATAAAATACCATTCAATTAGCTTTGATTAGAAAAATCTAAAATGATTTTCCTAGAGGTCCTAATTTTATCAAGTTTCATATTACATAAGGTGCCATAATATGACACCTAAATTTGAATGCAGGCCAATCTTGATATGCAATTATTTTCAGATGTAATATGGTCTCCAAAGTATAATTTTGAACCCAAAGATGAAAGAGTTAACCACAACAATGATACTTTCATTTGGTCATAGTTGAATAATGTATGGCATCTACAAACTATTGGACTACACATTTTAATATTAGTGTGTACACACACACACACATACTAGAATACTATTAGGATTGAACATATAGGGATAGAATATGCATTCTTCTGGCATAAGGCCTTCCAAATCAAAGTCAAAACTGATCCTATAATTATTGTTCATACCATATTCACACGACACTAAATCAAATTAATGTCCAACCAAAATTATTACACTTTTCAAGGATTAACAATGCCAAAGGGAAAGCCCTTTCCCTTTGTTAAATGTAACATCCAAGCAAAATCAACAAAAGCCAAACCTTTGAACAAGATAAGAAGAAGGATGGAGACAAATTTGGCCACTTAAAAAGCAGCCATATTTTGAAAGACATAAAAAATATTTGATCTCTTAAATAATCATATGTGACGCCCCGAAAAAAAAGAGTTTGAGAACCCGGAAATTTTCTAATTTTCTAGGGTTTATTTTTTTAACGCCCGCCTTTTCTACATTTTCTTGATTAGAAAAATTCCCCAGATAAAGTTTATGAGCAAAAATAGTTTTAAAATGATTTTTCTAATATCGGTTAGTTTTTGAGAAATTAAGAGCGTATTTTGGACGTGGGACCCGCTAGTGCGGTAAATGCATTATATTTTTGACAACTTGTAGGAATTTTGTATTGAGTAATATTATTTTACAAAGTGTTAAGATATTTGTATTGAAAAGACAAAAAGATAAGTTTTACACCTAAAGGTGACAAGTGTCACTATCCTATTCACTCTTGGACTTTTGACCATCTTACCTTAACTTTACTAAAACCAAAATTTGACCAAAAATCAAGCCATTTCTTCCTTCTCATGGCTGAAACTTGGAGAGCAAGAGAGAGAGAAAAACCTTCATCTTTCACTCCAATTTCTTACTTCAATCTTGAGTTCTAACCGATGGATTTGCAAATCACTCCATAAAAGTTGGTTACTAAGGAGATTCCAAGGTCTTGGTGGAGTTATTTTGGAGAAGGAACCACTAAGCTACTATCTTTTGTGAGGTATCAAGGTATGGTGTGTAAAGATTCATTGTTTGTTTCCAATAATGGTGAATTAGTAACTTGTGATGGTTAAAGAGATGGTTTTATGGATTATATTGTGATTTTTGGTTGAATTGGTGAAGTTTTATAATTATTGGGGATTTTTCTGTTTTAATATGAACATGGTTGTGTGGTTATATATGATGATTGGAAATGATGTTTAAGGACTCTATGAGGTGGAAAAAGTGATCAATTGCAATCAATTTCTGTTTTGGAAGAAATTTCAGAAAATTAGGTTTTGTGAAGCTACATTCTGTCCGGTTTTATAGCTCCTATTTAGAGGCCGAATTGGCCTTGGCTTAAAACATGAAAGTTGTAGAGAATGACATTTTAAAGGTGCCTACAAAATTTCAGGTCAATCGGAGTAGTTTGGAATGAGAAAAGTCGAAATTACTATTGCTGTTCTGGTTTACCCGAAATTGGGATTTGCGACTGTAATTGGTTGTTTTGGCTGGAATTGCTTCCGAATTGGATGTTGAGGCATTCTGATGAAATTTAGCCCTATTTCTTAGCTTTCAGCTGGTTTTGGAATTTCTGGATTTGGACTTAGGTACACTGATTTATGATGTTTCCGCTAGAATGCGTTCTGTGAATCTGTTTTTGTGATTCTGGTATAGTTTCTTGCATTTTTGACCTAGTTACACTCGAAACTGGGTTGAGTGACCTTCTGTAATATTGTAGCCCTGTCTCTTACCTTCGAAACGGTGGGTCTTGAACCTTCATCCGACAATCGTAGTGCCTTTGGTACCATTACCGCAAAATGACGTCAAAACCTGTTTTTCTGGTTTTGAGCTTAACTTTCATTTCCAGACTTTTTCCTAACTTGACTTGTCTTTGTACTACTTGGAGCTTGCTGAATGACTATTGCATGAACTTGTTATTGTGTGTGTACCTTTGGGACTGGCTGAGGAAATAATGAAGCCATGATGGCTGGAAAAGTTAGCAAATTCAGGGGAAGTGTTGTCCGAACTTTTAAAGGACTTGTTTGCATTGAGTTTGTGATCTAAGACTTGGATTTGAGCAAAGAAATGATATATGATGGATGGTTTCTGATCCATGGAGGTGAG